TGTGTTGCACAGACTTTACCAGTTGAGCTGCCTCATGATGTATCAAAAATTTCAAATAATCTTAGAGGTTACACAGTTTTTTCCCTATAAATAGCTCATCACTTAGTGTTGTCTCAAACATTGTGACACATGTGAGATCCAAGACACTGATGCTGGGCATCTGCCAGCTGAAAGTAAGGAGCAGGGAATGTGATGGATGAATTGGATCCATCTTACATTTTGCAGGCCAAAAGGAAGTTCCTGCCAGTCTTAGCAGTAATACTTTCCTCCCTCCAGACTGGAGAAATATGAATATGTCCAGCTAACTGAGCCTCTCCATCTGCTGCTGCTGCTGCTGTGTGTTTGTGGCGTGAATTAACTACAAAGAGACAGAGCCTGTATCTCTGTGTCCATATTGAGGTTATGGTGTGCGTGTTCAATCTGTTGCACAAAGAAAAGCTAATCCATCAGCGTCTGATCATGCTTAATTTCCAAATCATTGTTTAAAGTCTTGTTACCCTGAGTGTCTTTTTCTAAACATCCATCACACACATTTGGGAAACATATGAACATGTTGAATTAAAAATATGACTGGGGCAGAGACGTCTCACACAAGTGACAACTACAAAAGCCACAAAACATCCACAAAGCCACAACACTAACGCTGACCACCGACCAGACAACTTATATTTACATATATTTTTCCAGTCGGAATCATCAGTTTAAGAAACATCTCTTTTGGGTCTATGACATGTAATCTTTGCAAAGTCATCGCATGCACCTTGGACGCCCATTGAGACAGACAAGCTATGCAGACACACTCACACACGCACACACAGACAGTAGTACTTTATCACTGATAGCTGAAGCAGCCGGCATGATAAATCACTTCTATCAAGAAGGGCATGTATCTGCAAGACTTCGCTACCGCGGCTTTATCCCAGATGTCTCTGAATATGCAACATGGCAGTGCTCTTATCCAAGATATTTTTGGTGTAATTCCTGGCTAGTGGGAGGAGGTGGATACACATCATCCATCTGTATATGCAGTATATGACCTTATTCTGTGACCCACATAGATTTCAGTCAATCATTAAACAGCTTTTAAATATTCAGGAAGTATTTGTTACCTGTGGATGTCTCTCTCCAAAGCTTCTACAATAGATTCAGCTTTAGTATCCCATAAGAAAAATGATTACAATTACAAGTTCAATGACTGTGCTTTGATTTGCTCAGTCATTTTCATCTTCT